TAATTAGTTGCACCTATATTTGGGGCATAAATATTTATTATTATTTTATCTTCTTGTTGGATTTTGTTCCCTTTACCAATATGAAGTGTACTTCTTTTTATCTTCTGATTAGTTTTGGTGTGAAATTTGCTTTGTCAGATGTGTCATAGCTACGCCTGATTGTTTTCAGTCTCCATTCACATGGTATATCAGTTTTCAACCTTCACTTTCAGCCTGTGGCTTTTTGCATATATGGTGCATCTCTTGTAAATCACATGTTAGGCCTTGTTTTTAATCCATTCTGCCAGCTTTTCTCTTTTAATTGGAAAGTTGAGACCATTTACATTCAGTGTTATTATAGAGTTGTTGATTAATTCCTGCCATTTTGATTTTTTGTCTGTTTAATTTGATCCTGTTTTCAATTGAGATTTCTTCTTCTGTGAGCTCTGAGGTTTGTTTCTATAATTTCTTCTGTGTGCAATATTTTTTTAAGTAAGTTCTATAGTGACAGTTTAATAATCATGACAGTTATGGTCTCTCAGGACTTGGAACACATCATTCCAAACCATCCTGGCCTATAGAGTCGGTGCTGAGAAATCAGAAGTGATTCTGATTGGCTTGCCTCTGAATGTGACTTGATGTTTTTCTCTTGCAGCTGATAAAATTCTATCCTTGTTCTGTATGTTTAGGCATTTTAATTATAATGTGTCATGGAGAGGTTCTTTTTTGATCTTGTCTATTTGGGATTCTAAATGCCTCCTTTATCTGGATGTCCATCTCATTCTGAAGGTTTGTAAAGTGTTCTGTTATTATTTTCCTGAAGAGGTTATCCATTCCATTACTTCATAGCTACAGCCCTCCTCAATTCAAGTGATTCTTAAATTTGGTCTCTTCATGTTGTCTCAGAGTCCTTGTATATTCTGATCATGGTTAAATTTTATTTCTTTAATACTGTCTGAATGTTCAAAGAGAGCCACTTTGTCTACCACCTCTGAGATTCTGCCTTCAACGTGGTTTACTCTATTAGAGAGATTTTCAGCTGAACATTTTGATTTATTTTGTCTTTCATTTCTAATATTTCTGTTTGGTTCTTCTTCAGTATTTCTATCTTCTTATTGAATTTCTCATCCATATTCTGTACTGATTTTCTTAATTCACTCAGTTCTGTGTTCTCTTGGAATTCATTGATCTATTTATAATGATTCTTTTGAATTCTTTATTGGAATTTCATCCACTACTGTGTTTTGTGGGTCATTTGCTTTAGGAGGTGTCATGTCAGCTTGCCTTTTCATATTTCTTATATTCCTGTGTTAGATTTTATGCAGCTGATGGGGAGATTTCTCTTCCACTCTTATGTATGGATTTTTTTAGGGCATAGTCTTCACTTGCCAAAGTGTCCTAGAGTGATCTGAACTGAGACCACCTTGTAGGTGTGTTGTCCACAGCCTTTGGGTTCTTTCTTTCTGTATGTGCTACAGCAGTGGATGTCCATAACTGGGACATGAGGGCCCTCCCCTACTTGAGACCTGGTTGTTAGTTTGGGTTTTTGTGTCTTCATTGTTTTGTATTAAAGTATAGTTGAAGATTGGGTGTCATTAATTTGTGAGTGGAACATGGTACACTGTCTTGTGGTTGTGTTTAATTCAGAGTTTCTACCCTGTGATCTTGTAGTGTCCCTATAGGTTCCCAGTACCTCACACAGGGTGAAACAAACAACAGCAACAACCAATGAAAATACTATACAGCATTAAACCAAATACTTGGTTCCTGCTATGACATCTGTAATGTTAATTGCCACAAAACCAGAAAGGGTAGCATCAGCAATTGCCAACAGCAAAAATAAGTAACCATGAACTATTATCTGTCTTAAAGCAAACAGCAGGTGTCTACTATATATCCACAGCAGTAATAATTTCAACAGCATTAATGGTGGGACAGAATAACTCCTGTTAATAAACCAATTAGTGCTACAAGATGGTAAGAATGCAGTTAATTAAGAGAAAGGAAGATATAATAGGAAAGTAGAAAAGAGTTCATAATTTCAGAAAATGATCAGATAGATGCACAAGAGATGTAACATGGTTACATTATTTATATTAGATAATTTATTATAAGGAAGGAGGATAAAATAGAAATAATAAAGTAAAGGTAGAGTGGGAGAATAATAGAATTTAGCCATTAGCAGAAAAAAAAAGAGAGAAAAACAGATCAAATCAGTGAAAAACAATACCAATCTAAAAACCTAACCCTCGGAGGACAAGGCAAAGAAAAATAACTACATCTTAAAAATGCTGAAAATGAGGAAAAGAGAAACATGTATATGTATATATGTCCAAGACCCAGTCAGCACAGCAAAAGCAAAACAACAACAATGAAAAGATCCTTAATGAAAAATTATGGAATCATCTCCGCTGAGATGGACAGAATAGTCAGTGGAAATAGTTGGACATTATCTGTGCCCAACTGTCTTTCCATTTCTTCTTGGGCTATGTACTAAGAGTGAGAGAGGGGTTGTTACCTCTTCTTTTTTGTGTTGTTTTCCAAACTGCCAGTTGTAGTGGCCTAAGGCTGAAGCTGGTTCAAACAGTTCTCAGTTTCTCTTCTTTCCAGTATGAGGCAGGATGGGGTGGGAAGTAATGTCAGTTGGAGTTTTGTTTGCACAGATTGATGTACTTCCAGGGTGGGGCCACTGCAGAATTTTATGAGTTGAGTTCCAGTGCCTGGGTCTTAGGTCTAATCAGGCCTCAGGGGCTTTGCTGGCACACGTCTGCTCTGGAGAGATTAAATCCACACACCCCTTGGCCAGGCAGCTGCCAATCTCTGTTGGGAGTCTAGATCTCAGGAGCCTCCAGAGGATTCTACTGAAGGATTGGCTGTCCATGAATACAGCCTTTCCAGGCTTCCCAGGCTTAGTCCAAGTACATTCGCACCCTCATGGTTCAGATTCCAGCCCACTTCAGCTTGTCGTGTGAGCCACCAGACTCCTAGTTGGATTTCCTTTTGCTTTTCTGACTTGAATTCTCATTCTGCTAGGTATACCCTAGGCTATGCAGAAGGCACTGGCCGAGCAATATAGCTGTGTTAGCTCAGATCTTCTGACTCCTATAGTGACAGCTGTAGCGAGACCACCTCAAGGTGGCTCCCACCTCAGCTCTCTGAGTCCAGTTGGAAAACAAAGGGCACTTTTCAAGCACCAGTGCACAGTGTAGCCTCTGGATCAGCTAAGGGTAGCCTGCTTTTCTGATCTCAGGTTTTCCATGTTAAATCTGTCCATTGTACTCTCTTTGCTAAATCAGCTGCTGCCCCAACCAACTTGGCTTCAATGTAGTCTGTTTCTTTGTTTAATGTATCCAATTTTCTGAGTCTCTAGGACACTCTAACTGTCCAATAATATTAAGTTTTAGTGAAATTCCTCTTTCACCCACCTCACAGAAAAGCAGTACCCCTGCTGCATTAATCCCCAGCCATATAGCACCTAGGAATGCAGTCTTCCTCTAGCCTGCCATCTGAATCCTCCGCACCCCATCTTAATTTCTTAGGTGATCTTTTAAGAAAAGTTAATATTATCACTGTCAGTAGATCAGGTACCACAGTGTGCAGGCACCAAACCGTCCCCTCATCTTGATGTCAGTGTCCACGATGGTTCATCCTTCTCCCACTGTCTCCAAGTTCTGTCTATACATAGTTACTCACCACCATGTTCAAATTCTCAGCCTCAATATTTGTTTTTCTTCTCCAAAATAATAAAAATTTTATCTTGGTGCTTACAAAATTTACCTTTGCTTATTGTAAAATATTCATGTTACAAAAAATGCCAATCACATTAATTCCCACCACTCACAGATGACTACTTAACATTTTGGTGACCATTCTTTGGAACATCTCTGATTGCCTTTTGTTCTTTAATTTTTACTTAATTTTTAAAAATCATAAACCCTTTCAGGATTCTAATAAATAGTAGAAAATGCTATTTTAAACCCCTTTTTTAAAAGTTTAAAATTTTATATATGATATTTGAGGCTCAGAAACAACCTGAGCCCCTTTAATTAATGAGTCTACACTGCACATTTAGTGGCTGCCCAGTGTTCTGTATAAATATGCTATAATCACAGAACTATTGCTAGTGGGCATTTGTGTAGTGTCCTGCTTTGTAAATACTGTGGTCGTGAACGTTCTTGTGAGGTCCTGTTTGGTCTGAAACCTGAAAGAATAGTTCACTTTCTCTCCAGGGAGCCTTCTTTAGTTGTAGTCATTAAGACCTAAATTTAACTTCTTCCTAAAGGAAGAGAAAAGAAAATCCTACTTGGAAGACCGATCAGCATTCTGGTTAGGAACATGGGCTGTTGTAGGAGTGAGTGGAATACACACATGTGTGCACATGCACACTTCTTAGCTTTGCACAGGGGACAGCACACTATATAATACAGTGGCTTCCATTACTAATAGAAGTGACCAAACCTGAAGGTCACTGGAAAAATTAACATTTGACTGGATGTCTTTTCAAAAGTCTTGTCTTTCCACCAGACTTAGAGTATCCCAATGACAGGAACCAAATTATAATTATTGAGCACCTTACTTAGACTAACACACTAGTGTAGAAGTAGATTGTTATCACATTCATGATGGTTGAATGGATCAGTTAAAAACTCACCAGTGAAAAAAAATCTAATTCTGAATGAATTTCAAGTAGTTTACATTTCTGGGGTGCTTTCAAAACAGTATGTGGACAGATGTTTCACATTTCAAAGAGAGATCCAGAAATGTGGTAATAACTGATTCAAGTTGTATGCTTTTAAAACTGGAAGGAGTGGTGTTTATTTTATTTTTTATTTTGCTTCCTTGGATGTTTCCTTTTATTTTCTGGGCACACATGTGCACATTTGATGATGTGACTGAACACTGAGGAACAGAAAATTGACTAATACAACAGTAGAATTTGGTAGAGCGTATTCTCACTTCCCATGTGCAGGCCTTTATTTCTGAGTGGTTGTCCTTCTGACACATGCTGACTTGGGTTTCAGGTGCCATTACTGCAAGTCATCGTGCCACGTGTCTTCCCTCCGCATTCCGTATGCCTGCAAGCTGCTTTTCCAGGAGCTGCAGTCTATGAACATTATCCCCAGGTTAAAACTGTCCAAGTACAATGAATGAGATGGAGAAGGTGGGTGAGTGAAAGCAGTGGATGGTAAGTTTGATGCCGTGGAAAGCAGAAGGGACTGAGAACTGTTTCTGAGAATGACTTCTGGGATTATTTTCTCTCAAAAACAAACAGAACTGATGGAGAAGCTTTGTTGTTCTAGAAGACTGACTAGACAGCCTTCATCAGTGAGCCCCGAGCCACGGGAGAAATGCTGATGACATGGACTGCAGTGCATTGGATCCACAGTGGACATGACCTAAAGGATAAACAAGCTTTTATTTATGATCTGTAGCTTGAAATCTACTCAGTAGAGAGACCTTACTCCTTAAAAAGAAAGTTTGGGTTTAAATTCCCCACGATATCTTCTGGTTAACAAAACTTAAGGTTCTCAGGAACCTTTGAGGATGAGAAGAATTGCCTGAGTTCATTCCTGAACTCAAGTTGAGGTGTGTGATTGTGAGCAGGGTGAGGAGGCAGCAGGGCTGTGGGAAGCTGAGATGAATCCGTAAAGTGCTGGATTTCTTATCTGGTTCTGTGAGGGGATAAATTTTCCCAACAATTAAATCTTGCCATCTCACGCCCAAACTTTGTGAAAAAAAATTACAAAAAAATCTTGGGGAAATACAATAAATATATTCTTGTAAGCAGGAATATCACTTTTCTTATGGACCCAGTTGTACTATTTTGAACCTCAGTCATACCATAAAATAATGTTTATTAAATGTCTGAACAGAACTCCAGGAATGTCTTGTTATTTCCCGTCAGGATGTTAGTTGTCCAATCTCTTCTGCAGTTAGCCTTCCTCGCTCTGGTCTGTTTTGCTCTTAACTGCTCTGCTCTGAAGCTGGATAAATATTTTTTATGCCAAGAATTATTTATAAAATAGGAGTCTGAGAAACTTTTAGAAATGGACTGGGGTGACATTCCCAATGTGTCATATTGAAAATGGCCCACACAATGTTAATAAGTGTTATATACCAATAAGGATCAAGCTCCAGTGTCAAAATGAGGTTGAGGAACTATGTTTAACCAAGTCAGACCTACCACAGGACCTTCTCAAAACCTGTAGCCATCTCAAGCTAATGAGTATTGGGACCTTCTGAAGGTTTGGGTTTAAATTCCCCAAGATATCTTGAGAACTCAGCCTCACCTTGTTTTCTTTGTGATCAGAGTGTAGAAGTCAGGAAGGCTCCACAGCCCAAGCAGAATGGAGGCTGCCGTGTGAGTGAGCAGGCCTTCCTCAGCCTTGGCTTCAGGAACTGGGTAGGAGAAGGAGTTCATAGCCCACATCCTTACTGCACTGGCTGCTCCTTCTCTTAGATTGGCTTTATCGTTTTCAAAATTGATGGTGCAAAAAATGACTAATAATTGATTGTATGTGTAGTCATGCTGTACTTTGTGGGCTATTTAAGGAGTCTTCTGGGTTGATCTTGACATCTCCTATACTGAGGCAACAGCACTTCCTAACTCCACTGAACGTAGTGGTCCTGCCACGTGTGGCATATAAGATCCATGAATACTAGAGGGTCATTTGGAAAGAGCGGTGTCCTGGATACGGTACAAAGACTTCTGTCATTTAATCATCCAGTGATGTGCACTGGAGCAGGACATGACCTCTGCCTGAAGGAGCACGCACAGGAAGTCAAGACATGGCGGACAGTCACAGAGCATGAACGCACCACTGCCTGTGGTCAGTGCTCCAGGAGATGTAGAAACTCCTCTCAAGGGTCATTACCCCCTTTATACAAAAAAAACCTTACCGACTCACTCTCCAGCACCTCACCACTAAGAAGGAGGGGCACAGGCTTCCTCACTTAGGGAGCTTTGTTTTGGTTTTGTCCGTGGAGGTATTTTTGAGTCAACAAAGGTGACTCTTTGTTTTTAATTCAAATACTACTAAGTGGTCATATTTCTTTCAGATGAACATTTCTTTTGGAAAATCATTTCAGGCCATTCTGACAATTTGGGGGAGAATCATCTATCTAACCTTGGAAATTCTAAGTTCTCTTAAGTTTCCAGGACCTAAAGAGAGGAAGGGATCCAAATGGAGATATCCTTAGGAGAAAAACTATCGGGTTGATATTTCAAAAACCAGCAGATACTATGTTTGAATAGCTATTTGTCTCTAAGAAGTACTTTAGTAAAGAGAAAAAGAAGTCAAAACCAGTGAGTTCATTCTACTACAGTTTTTTTTTAAAAAAAGGTTTTTGTAAGGTCCTTGTTTTCAAAACTACCAGTTATATTGCCATCACCAAGAGTCTGTGACCCTGACATGAGCTTTGGCAGGATCATGGCACTGGAAAGACAAAACTGTGGGCTATAAGTGGCCAGGATCCCAGACAGAAAGAAAGCTCACTGAGGGGAGCCCAGCTTTACCATTTTTCCCCTGAATTTGTCAGTGTGGGCTGTCATAGCAGAATATCACAAATGGAGAAGCTTAAACAACAGAATGTGTCTGCTTACTATTGTTCAGGCTCAAAGACCAAGATGCTGACATCAGCAGGCCGGGTTTCTAGTGAGGCTCTTCCTGGCCGCTGCCAGCCACCTCTCCACTGCATCTTCACAGAGCCTTTTCCTGGTGCACACTCGAGAGCACGCGGAGGACCCTCCCTGCCCCCACCCACCCCAGTACTGGATTGAACCCAGGCCACTTGGTAGAGAGGTAGAGCTACATGCCCAGGCCTTGTTATTTTTTATTTTGAGACAGAGTCTTGATAAATCGCCAAGGCTAACCTAGAACATGTAATCCTCCTGCCTCGGGCTCCTGAGTCACTGAGTTACAGGTGTATGCCACTGTGCCCAGAGGATTCTCCTACCGGTCCTATTGACTTAGGGTCTCACTCTTTTAACTCCATTTATCCTTAATTAGTTCCTTAAAGGCCCTGTTTCTCCAAGTACAGTCACACTGGGGATTAGGGCTTCAATATGAATTTTGAGGAAACATAGATGAATCCATTATACCCCTCAAGACATTTCCCAATTCATAAAACACAGACTAAACTGTTGACAGGACCTTTTTAAAAATTTGTTTTATTTGTTCTAATTAGTTTTACATGATAGTAGAATGCATTTTGTCACATTGTACACACATGGAGCATAACTTCTCATTTCTCTGGCTGTACCTGGTGCAGAGTCACACCAGTAGGGTAACCATACATGTATATAGGGTAGATATATACATATATGGTTATATATCTGTCTCATTGTACCGTCCTTCAGCCCCATCTCGCCTTCACTCCCCTCTGCAAATGGACAATACCTTTTAAAGATGAACATATTCACAGTTCCATTTGTAGGTATGAGCCCTGCAGAAATATGTGTTATCATCAGTCAGTGTGAACAAACGAAGGTTTCTAGCAGCATTATTTGTGTTTCTCTGCTTTTGGAAAGAACCCCTTCCATTAACAATAGAATAAATTGTGGTATATCAATACAATGGAATATTACACTGTGATGAAAACGAATTGTGCTACATACAATATTGTAGATAATCTAGCAAATATAGTATTGAGAAAAAAGTCAAGAAAATACATACTATATTGATTCCTTTTAAGTTCAAAAATGGACAAAATTAACATATAAGAAGCCATGAATAAATAGCTTTCTGTGCAGAATGGGCTGATGACTGAGAGAGTACAAGAGGGACTTCTAGAGTACTGATAATATCTTTTTGTTTTGTTTTTTTAATCAGAGCATTGATCACATGTGTTCCTCATCTTATGAAAATGCATTAAGTTGAGTACACTCAGGATTTTTCACTTTTCTCAATTTAGGCAACTAAATGGTTAAGAATACTCATTCTAAACCTGTGCTTTAGTCTTTTCATTTCACAAATGTGTTGTCTCAAATATAACATGGTGGTTTTGTTCCCTTGGTTTTCCATCTTCAGAATAGCAGAATATTAGTACCAATACCTCAGGCCTTTTTTAAGATCAAGGGCTCAGCTCAGTGCCCAGCACAGTGGGCATGAGAGGATGCCCGTGGTTGTTTTCGTTGGTAGCAATAATCATCTCCTACGGCTTACTAACAGGACTGCTCGTGAGCCCTCTTCATCAGGTCAGAGTTGGAGCAGGCAAACCCAAGTTCCTTTGGAGGAGGGAGTTTGGAAACTAGGAGCAAAGGCAGAAGCCACATGGCTTTGCCGATGCTCTCTGGGAAAACCTCCCTGCTTAGCAGTGCTGGGAGGAAGAGGGTGGTGGAATTAGAGAGCACACTTCCCTGGAACAACCATTTACCACCGACATCAAAGGAGGCCTGCTGTGGGCCCACAGAATCAGTTCTCAAAACGCTTCCATGTGGGGAGAGTTGAGGAAGGGGTTTTAAAATACAAAGTCCTTGATTGGGTGCTACATAATGGGATAGTTTTCAGCTGCTTCAGAGTGTTTGGGGTAACACCTTTATTTGCAGTAATGAGTCATATGAGAGGGAACACATCAGGGCTGGTGGCTGGGCCCATCCATTCTCGCCCTCTGAGTAAGAGAGAAGCCAGTTTCTGAGAGACCTGTAAATAATTCCTTTGTAAAACGGATGGTCAGAAAAGTGACTGTAAAAATAGCACCTCTTTACTGTCCATATTTACTCCATATGTGTCGTAGGAACAGTGCATTTCATTTGTTGATTGAAAGTTGAGTTTTTACTGCCCCAGCCACAGGGCCAAGATTGGTGGGATGTTGAAGTCACCTTTTGAGGAGGTTTCAAAGGGGGTGGGGGAGCTCCTAAAAGTTTGTTACCTAAGCGGAGCTACCAGTTTGATTTTAGACATGGGCCCCAGAAGTAATTAAATGAAATTTGTGTTCAGGCTATCTTGGCAGAAAATTTCAGTATGACCTGGAAATCACATTTGCTCTCACAAGTCTCACGTCTCACACCAGGTCGAGAGTTAAAGTATTTTTCCAGTCCAGGTAATAACCATGGTTCCATGCATAATAAAGTTTAAGTCTACTTTACTCCCAACTGTCCACATTCATGGAAGCACAGAAAGGTGTGAATAAATTAAAGCAGATGATGGACCCCAGATCCTTTGTACTGGATGTTGGGACGGAGTTTGCACTCACACTTTTAATGGAACTTATGTGGCAGGTTGGTGGATTTGCCATCCTTCAAATAGTGACTCCTGTGAACACTTCATTTGAAGAGACTGGGATAAAAATGACCTTTATGGTTAAGTGATGGTGACAGATCTCTGGAAAGGTGGGACAGGCTGACAGCTGGGATGCTTGTAGACGAGTGGTTCTCAAATGTGGTCCCTGGGCCAGAAGCAGCAGCATCACCTGCAATGTTTTGGGTCTCCTCCCCAAACCTACCAAGAAACTGCAGGTGGACCCCAGAAATCTTGTTTTAAAAAGCCCTTCAGGGGACTCCAGTGCAGCCTAAACTTTGAGATGGAGGGTTGTGAGCTAGAAGAGCTTTGAGTCCCACCCTCGCTTACAGCCAGCCTTTGGGGCCTTAGGGTACCAAAGTGACCCCCTGGAAACTGGCTCCCTGCTCTTTTCCCCTTTTTTGCTGGGCACAACTTCCCCTTAGGCTGTGTTGGACTCTCCCACCCTCGCATGCCTCATTTCACCCTTGAGCAAGGGCCTGAAAGGCCTTTGTCAGTCTAGCCTGTCCCTCCTCTGCTGTGAAGGTCTGTGCGCAGGGCATTGGCATGGAGCCAGATCCACACAGGTTCATTCCTCTGCCGCAGCCCGGCATGGGCTCCTCCCTTGTGCTGCCTGGTTTCTGACTCTCCGGACTCGAGGTT